TTAGTCTAGAATTTCAGAAAAAATTACAGGTATATACATATATTTGTAACTTGTCATTTTATTATTATTTTTATATTCTTTCCTAAATTACTTATACCAAATATCTAATTTTTACATTATAACTCATATAATGTATATTTCATTATATTTACCTAAAGGGTGTTTACCCATTGATTTATATAAAAAAATAAATACATGTATTGCTGCTGCATATGATTATCCATCTATAATTACACCCTAAGAGGATATGACTATTTTGTGTGTTAATATCTATGAGTAAGTTGTTATTGTATAACACAATGTTGAAGATAAAAAATATGTAAGCAAATATTTTAGTACCTAATATTAGAATGATAGTAATATAAAACAAAGCTTGCAAACTAGAAATATAATTCTATACTACATACTCTGGTAACATGATAAAAGTAGAAAAGCCTGCTTTAGTAGCAAATAATCTTCTCAAAGCATGAAATTGGGCCTCTAGTTCATGAACAGCAATCTCATTCTGATCACCTTGATGAGCAATTATTGATGTAAGAGCCATGACTATTAACTTTTCTTTATTTTCAGTAAATAGTTTCTATAAATTAAGAAAATTCACATTTAAATTTAATATTAAACTATATAAATATATTAATTTTTAAATGAATATCCTTCGTAACTGCAATTAAAGTAATTACAAAACATAATAATTATTTAGCACAATTAACTTATAATATTAATTATTTAACTAGATAAATAAAAAACCTATATATAATACAAATGTTTAAAGCTTAATCCATTAAAGTAAGTAACAAGCTAATAATATTATATTATACATATAATAACAATATAATAAGAAAAAATATAATTTTGAAGTCTCAAAGTTGACCCAACTTTACATTTTATTTTATTTTGTCATTTTGTCAATTTATTTGTTGAATATAACAAACATTTTTTAAAGAAATTTGGCTAGTTTTTAAATTTAGTAGTTAGAAACTCAGTTTTTATTAACACCAAATAATAACATTCAAAGATTTCTTGAAATCAGAAATGTTTGTAACTATATGGAGTAAAACTAAGATCTTGTCAATAAAATAAACAAATATTAACTGCATAATTTAAAAAAAAAATAATTTAATATCTTTTATGATATAAAAAGTAATTTTTAGAAAAAATAGTAAGTGTTATTTAATTTCTTATGTAAAATATTGTTTTTATTTATAGTTGTGTAACTTACATCTTCAGAAACAGAATGAATTAAGCCACTGTACTCAATATTAGCATTAAATCTATCCAAAACTTCAGCAAATGACTTTCTAGGTGGAGGTTCTTTAATACACTTTAAATGGTTGGATTCAATCTAAACAATAAAAGAAAATACATTTATAACAAACAATACTTAGAAAATTGAATAATCCACCTTACTTCTTGGTCGGGTGATACATTAAAAGGTATAAGTCTTTTATCTCGAGGAGTAGGCGAAAGTTTTACATGTATATGGTGATTTCCAGATGACCTTACACTATCTAGTAAAGTAGCCAAGAGGGAATCTCTATAAATTTAATAATTATATTAATTTGTTATCTGGAAAATATTTATTAGGCAAGTTTACTAAGTACCTATTGGTAGCAGTGTATGAACGACATGATGAATCTGCATACTCAATACAGAACTGTTGTGCATCAATTGGATCTCGTATTAAAGCAAACACTGATGACAGTGGTCTTAATGTGACAACTGTATACGTCTGAGGATCTCTTTCCAGTAAACAAACTTCACTTAAGCAAAGTAATCTCCGTTGTGGACATTCTTGGTGTCTAGGAACACCAATTTTTTTAACTTGAAACTCGCAGACAGATGTAACATGTTCATCTGAGCTATATCGCCCTAGTCTTTTGATCAAAAAATCATCATGTGTTATACTGTGGCGGAAAAATTCTATAGGTATTTGTAAGTATATCATAGCTCTTTCCTTGACTTTTTGAAATATTTCTTCTCTATTTGAGCTGATGAATAAATGCTAAACAAATATGCCTTATTAATAAATAAATACAAAAAAAAAATGTTATTATTTTTACCATTCTTCCATAGGGTCGTGATATAATAACAAAACCACCTGGGATATCTTCAACATGCTGAATAGCTTCTATGTCCTTGTATCGATAACTAGCGAGAACTTGAGCAGTTGCAGTATCTAATTGATCAATAGAAATAGGAGTGACATTTATAGTTACTGGAAGTCGAGTATCAGACCAATGATACTTCAGAGCTTCATAATTCTATAATAATTTAACAGTGTCAGCAAACAAATCTCAATTTGTATACAATAAAAGAGACTATAATAATTTTGTAGCTTACATATATTTCTTCTTGACCACGCTCAGAAAATTGATGTCTAAACTTGAGAGCATCAGTTAATAAATTTGAACGAAAATCAGTTGAAAATTTAAATTTATCAAGTTTATTTTTGTCTCGAACAGATAACAAAAAACCACCTGCATTTTGTGGATCAACTTGTATAGATATTATTTGGTTGTATGAGTATCGATTGGTAATTTCTAAGCTATTTGGATTATATGTTGTTATACCATGAGTACCAACACTAAATATTCTTTTATATCTGAAAAAATTAGATAATTTTAAGTGGAATAAACAAATATTGCATTACTACTGTTACATACTTGCCCCTCCAAGAGTGCTTCGTTACAAAGTAACAAACAACATCTGTGTTATTTGGAATGGGTAACATGTTATCATCTAAAACAGACAAATGTATTGTAATAAACAGAGGATGTCATAAAATAATTATCAATTTATTGATACACATACAGGGTGTTCAACTTACAATGGCCATTAATTCATTTATACTTTAGCTAATTTTACATATTTTTTATAGTTAACATACATAACATAAGACAAATATTTTTTACTAGTTTTATTATTTTAAATTAGTAATTGTATTAAAAAAAAATTGATAATGATTTACAAAAAGATGATTGTGTAAATAAAAGTGTAGGTTTAATCTGATATATAAGAAAGGAATGGGTAACACATACTATACAAATATAATAACAGTGCATTTATAACTTCAAAGTATAATTTATATTCAATATTTGAGATAAAAAATGACAAAATATTTAAACTATTTAAATAGAAAATGATTTACATTAAGTGTAGATATAATATATGAATTATAATATGTAAAAATAGGTACTTTTAAGATAGTATACTACTAAAGTATTTCTTTTTTAAAATAAAAAATAAATTGTAAAAACAATAATTATAGGTACTTAAAAAATGTACTAACCTTTTAGACTTGAGATCATTATCATAATATGTTGTTTATAAAAAGGTTTTATATTGTTTTATTTATTTGATGAAAGACAATTTTAATACCACTAAAATGACATACACTACATTTAGCCATTATTTTGGGTTAAATTAAGATTTTAAATTTCTAAACAATAATCATTCAAATCGGCAAAGATCAAACCATATAAACATAAATTTAACAAAAATATTAATTTTCATACAATTTAATTACATAACAATCAATCATAAATTACTATTTAATTAAAATGATACATAGATAATAATAATAATAATTATTATATTTAATATCTTCAACAAAAAATTTAAATCCAATACAAATAATATTTTAAAAAGACCATCAAATATATAGAATGAAACAAAAAATGTCATAGTTTAATCTACCTAATCAATCTCACACAAAAGTACATCAAAAAGCAATAAACCGAATGCAAATAAATTGTCATACTTCCTGGCATTGAAATGTTTTGAGGGTACAGCTTCTTAAATCATTGTACAGCAAATTGTAAGCTGCTCAATTAAAATTTGTCAAATGTAAATTTGACTAGTGTTATTTCTTGAAAACATTGAACAATAACACACTAGTTGTTAGCACTTCGCAGTTCGTAGCTTCATTTCAAGTAACATTTATTTTTTTATCAAGATATAAACTTTTAGACGACGGTACAACACTACGGTCTACGACGATTGTGGATTGATAATAATATTTCAATGCTACCAAGCAGTAAAATAAAAACTTTATTATCACTAGAAATTAGACGATTATCACGAACGGTTCTTCACAGGAAAAATTTTGTGTATGATATATTTCCTTATCACGTCTAAATTGACGACCATGGTAACGACCACGTTCGTCGTTATCACCTTATCACTTATCACCGAAAGATTTATCACTCTGACTATAGGTATGATCTTGGCGGGCAAATTTGATTTATACGATTACCCATCAGACCTATAGATAGAATAAGAAAATACAATTTTTTCGTTCATGCAAGAGGATAGCCAAAGCGGAACGTCGGAAACCCAACTAAATAAGATTAGCCGTGCATGGTACATCACCGTGTTCTCTACCTATTCATTGCATTTTATCTAATCGCATTAATTGGGCCATAAAAGTAAAACTAAGACACTCAAAAATTAATGGCGAATAAAAGTATAAATGTATAATCATTGGCGCAACTAGACATTTTAAGTAGGGGGTGCTTAAGCTCCAGGTTTTTTTTGTGACTCGATTGGACCTAACACCACTATTTGCCTATACTAACCACTAAAACAAAACAAAAACCATAGTTCTGGGTCTACACAGGACAGTATAAATTGATTTTAAAAACAGAAACAAAAAAAGTCATACTTGATGTAGACAGTATAATACTAAATTATCCCGAATATTTTATATGCTTTTTGATTTTGGGGTTATTGGATGATCGCCTATTTTAGTAGACCATATATCACAACCACAGTTAACTTTTCTTACTATTTTTGACAATTTCCCAATTTTCAATTTTATTTTAACGTACATTTTTTTTTATAAATAAGTACCTATATTGTTTTAAATATGTTTTCCTGTGAAATTTGCCATCTGAGTATATGTCCATTTCAGGTTTAAACAAGGAGAAAACATGAGGGATTTAAAAAGCACAGATTTTCGAAAAAAAAAGGGTACTTCTGTAATGATAGTGATGAATTATTTAATCTTAAGACAATGTTAATATAACACGTTAAAAATACATGAATACCACTGAGCATAATTTAAATATGTCATGTTCATTCTGAGTGCTTAGACTTCCTGATATCGAGGTGAAGGTCTCTCGGCCACCTATGACGTCGACCCTAGCAGCTTAGGAACCCTCGTAACTTCACTGTCTGAGACATATTGAGGTAATATTCAACACCGTTTATTGGTATTATAGTTGATACGATCTTTATCGTATCATTTGTATCCATAACCATTGTTTAGGGATTATTATTTATTAATCCCCGTCGTAACTCGTAGGCTATTTTGGAGATACATTTATCAGACAGAGGATTTCAAGTAGCCAAACCAAAAATTATGTAAATGGTGCAATGCCTCGTGAAATAATTTTGTAGTATAATAATGTTTTTAAGGTTCCATAAAATACAACTTTCAAAATTCAGCAAATATACATTGCAATCTATTTATTTAGCTAATTACAATATTGAGTTGTAGATATATGTAAATATTAATAATTTCATTTTTTTATAAATGTATAAGCATTATTTTCATGCACAATGTGAAAATTTTAAAATTTTAAATGCATAAATACATATTTTATTGATTTTTAAGTGTATACAAATCCGATAATTAATTCTGATGTATAGTAAACAATAAGCAATAATATTGCCAAAATACCTACCTTTTTTAACACAATTTACAAACACCGATATCACTGAGTAATAATAACCAATCGTCTGTAAAAAAAAATAATAATAATCTAGCAACTTAACATTTGTTTTTGATTTGATAATTTTATTTTATGAAGAACAATGTTACTATAGTTATAGTAGGTAATTTTATGGGCCATAGGTACATACTTTATAAAATATTTCCAGATTTACAATTCTCGTTTTTGTATATTGTAATTTTTTCTGATGAGCATTATGCGTGTTCATTGCTAAGCTAATCAATTTTTTACATTTCATATCCATTTCTGTCCAATTACTGCTGTACAGCGCGAATATTATAGAATCTTTCTAAAACAATCATAAAGTAAAGAATAATTAACAAAATGTTCAATACGAATTACCAACTGTTGTAATTTGTAATGACTAATTTTAAATTTAATTTCAGATTTTGTATTCAAAATGTATTACTTGTCCTATTTATTATTCATTATTAAATATTTCATACATTGTTTTATTTCATATTATATTGTAATTACTTTTGTATGTAATATATCAAAGAAATAACACTTCAGAAACATTTGAACGATAATGATAGTAAATCCTGAAATACATTTTAGCAATGTAATTCTAGTAGGTACCTCAAATTTCGTTGTAATAATACTCTGGAAAAAATGTACTAAAATATGAATTAGGTAAAGGCAAAAACAAAATATATAAACAAAGTATTTTTTTTAATCTTTATTATCAAATGTAAATGTTCTATAGTTATGTTTGTACCACTAAAACAAACCAAATTAGTATGATTGAACTGGATACACTCCACAATTCTAGTAAATTTATCGTTCGAAATATTAAAAATTCATCATATTTCCTGTAAATATTAAATTGTTAGTCAACCTTTAATTTGTTAATTCAAAATTAATCTTAATTTTTTTTATATTTAAATAATAGATTACAAAATGAGAACATACTTCATAACTTTTTGATGGTCTATTATAGTTGTTAATAAGTCATTGTAAATTTGTAAACATTAAAATTATATTTATTAGTACGTAATTTCCTGACCACGTTATCAGTGCAATCTACAAGAAAACAACAACGATATTCTATAAATCGAAAATATGTAGCCATAGGTATCATATTAAAAAAAAATGTTAATTATGTTGCAAAGGAATGGTGTTAAAATACAGAATAATAAATTATAAAATGTAGTACCTATACTTACTATTTGAGGAGTGATATGATTTATGTCCGACCAATTCGAACGAGCTGCAAATAATTTGAAACTGACAGGTTAGTGCTAAGCATAGCGTAATCAAAATGGTATCAAAAATAACAATGCAAATCAATATAACGGTATTGCAAAATATTTCGATGATGTAAAATACATTGAAGCATGTGTTGTATGTTTCTTCAAGGAAGAGTAAATACAAATTTAGAACGTTTTGGCCATATGTGCTGGACGACACGTCATGATTTTTCATCACTGTAAACGTGTTACTGAATGCCAACGGATATATTGCCATACCGATCGCCATTAAGAAACACAATACTGTGAATATATATGTAAGCCAGATGGATAGATTTCTCCACAAATCTAAAATATGTCTGTGCTGGTGCCGATAATTCGTGAAGTTGAACTGCGTGACCGATAAGCAATTCCATATATCTTCTGAGTAGTGGACAACGATGTATATCTTGTAGTTAGCGAATAGTATGTTTATCGAGATCAATAAATAGATCATGGACTCGACTGTGTTGTTCGTCCAATAATAAACACCGCATAAGCATAGTATCAACGACATAATACTTTGGTACAACATTAAAATAACAAAGATACTTTTGTAAACGTTATTGAACCTACCTCGAAGTTTTACTTTTTTGGGATCCAAAATTTGATAGAGACCGAGGATCTTTGCCAGCAATTGGTTGAGAATTAGTTCGTTATCGTCGATGTTTTTCATAACTATCGATGGTTAAGTATATATTTTGCCCGTCTACAAACATACCAACATCTCATAAACTAAATGATCATTAAGTACCTACATGTACATTTATTACAGTAATATAGGTAATAATAATGAATAAACATACCTACCTACTTTTTCAGAAAATTAAGCTATTTGTTGCTATATTGTGTTAATATAAACACAATCATCAGAAATTAATTTATATTTTTCACAACTGGCTAGTTCTTGAATCTAGTTACATAATACGTTACAATAAGTATAAAATAAAATATGTAATCTTTATCATATTATAAAGAAGCGAACACCTCTTAAAATGAAGTTTCCTTAACTGGATTGGAAATTGGTGTATTTCATCTTTATGTGCCTGCGACTATGAAAATGTGAGGTGGGCTTATAAAACGAAATTGTATTTGTAAAATTGCCTTTTTAATAAATTTAAGAAAAAAATGTTGTGTAGTAATAATGGCTTTGAAATAATAATTATTTTTTCTCCTATAATCCTATATATTATCTATATAATATATAGGATTACTTACTATACATTATAAATATATTATCCGATATCAAATACGTAAGTAGCAAGTAGCTATGTAATTTAGATATAACTATATACATAATTATTAAAAAATATTTATTATTAACAATGAAAACCTATACTTTAACCTATTCAGATGCAGTTTTTCCAAAATGAAAAATTTAAACATTTTTAAACGGTTGAAAAAGTGTTTTTTTCAAAAGAATTAGTACAATATAGATTATAAATAGTTATAGTTGCAGCAGACTGCAGTACAGCTGATACATTTCTCATAATTGTTTATTTATACTCAGTACCTATACTATTTTTCCTTTGAGACTTTAACGTTTCTATACAATTAATAATTATTGAATTTTATGAAGGTATAAACGAAACACGAATAATAATTTTTACTCTATATCCATAATTTACTTAGGACGAACTAATATAAAAAAAGTGCGTGACGAAGAGGAATACATCAAATATTTAGGCATTTTGCCATTTTGATAGAACATGGATTATTACGTAGAATATCGTAGTATACAATACAGTTTCACTACCACAGGGGACAGAAGTACAGAACATGTAATTACTAATTGGCAACTACTAATGTAGATAATATGTTATAAATTGTTTTACATTTTTCGCACAAACCTAATGTGTTGCCGGCGGCGTAGTGTATAGGGGAAATAAGTACATTAGTGCAATGTTCAATATTGTCCATAGTTATATTTTAGCTTATGGCAAGTAAACTCCGTTCGTCGGGAGGGCAACCAACGCCATAGTCCACGCTCGGCCACTCCGTCCAACATGTACACATTAATTACATTACTATCAATACTTATTATTCTTATTCTTTTAATTAGTTAATGTACATTTTTAACTGTGAAGAATCAAGAATAAATAAGTTCGGAACAACGTATATGAGGTTTTATAATATTTACTCTTTAGAGCAATTTTGAATAATTTAAATGGCAATGACGCCAATATAATCTATTTGCATAATTTTAAAACAATTTATTAGGTACCCTTGCACAATGAAATCTATACCACGGTCCTTAGAAAACATAAACTTCTGGTTACATTTATATTATATTATTATATTCATATTATAACCTCCTTGCATGACGTGTAGGTAATCATTTTTATTTCGTGAAATACAAGATTTTCAAAGAAGACATTTTATTGGAGTGTATCGATACGCATCGGGTCAATTTTGAGAGTACAAGAAGTTACACGTGCAATATATAAGTTATACATAACGACCCGTATCGGATTCTGAGTCCCATACTAGTCAGTATGCAACTATTTCTGTCTGTACATAACTGTTCATCCCTATTTAGATATCGAATTGTTCTTCTTGAAAATCTTGATCATGTGATAATATCTACTTTACGGTTTCGGCGCAATAGTATTTAAACCTTCGACATTTAATGGAATGCAACCAAACGTACAATAATAATCATCAGTTATAAACCTATAACCGTGGCTGGCTAACTTAAGAGAATCGATGGCAGACAGTTATTTAAGCCAAAACATACCAATATTCTGTAAATCATACACATACTTACCGACCTAATAATACGATAATACTTTTTAAAACGGGTTTAAATTTGTTATTATTTCTACTTGATATCGGTCAATCTACTTTTCCCAATTTTACCCCCGACAGCTAAAAAATTAATTTGAATAATTTGAAATTTTGGGAATTTTAAAAGTTGATTAAACGGAATTTGATTTAGAAATCTTAAAATGTGGACTGGCTGATCTCAAGTAGACATTCACGAGCTAACACAAGCAAATGTCCATAAAGGATAAAAAATAAATTAAAAAAAAAGAAATTGGTGTCAAACTCTGAAGACTGCAGTCTACAATCTCCTTATTCTTAAAGTCATAACATTATTTACATTAATTAATTTACTAAACAGTGATTATTTAAAGGGCACCAGCTGGTTTTCAAAGTTTGAAAAATGTCTATAAAAATATCAAATATATTTAAATTTAAGAAAAAAGTGGGAAGGGAAGAGGTGCTCGCAGGCAAATGCATTTTAAAAATAAAAAAAAAACAATTTCAAAATATATTGTATATACATGCATGGAGACCACCAGTCTACAATCAAAAATACAAATCAAAATGTCTATTGAAATTACTAAGTTCATTAAACAATGATTACCTATTTAGATGGCACCAGATGGTTATCAAGGTATAAAAATGCATAAACAATATTGTTTTTAGTTTTAATGGCAAAACAATAACTTAATATAAAACTCTAGAAGTGTTGACACTTGAGAAAAATTTAAAACTAGGCTTTCAAATTAACAAAAAATTGGATACTTTTATCGTGCCTATTATATTATCTCTGGGCTCGCATTACTTTGCTATTAAACTATATTATTCTATAATAATGCGCAGAGAACAGAATTTTCAAATTTAATATTTGAGATTGTTGTAACATAATATTGACATGAGTTTCAGTGGCACTATCTGCTAGAGCCAAAAATAAATAATAATTAGCAAATGCTGCAACTCTCCAGTACTTCTTATAAGTTATAACCTTATAACTAAAGTCCGACTTTAATTGACATTGCACCTATGTTTGCACACAAGATGAATCAAATCTGATCAAATATTGTGTTGTATAAAGTATCAACCTCAGTTATGTACAGTTCCGTCTTTACCCTATGGGCACGTGGGGCACGTGCCCAGGGCCCCCATCCAAATGGGGCCCCCGGCCAAATCGAAATTACAATTTTAAATTGTAATGTTTTCGCCGTTACCGATCCTATACGATTACGACGGTTATCGGCAACGACTCGCGGAGTATGTTTCGGTCGGGAGCGGGAGGGGTTACCCACACAAATGCAAGAAACTACAACAAGTTTTATATATATAAATCAATTACTGCAGTGCCAATAATCTATATCAGTTTCCACCCGCCCGCATTATGTTTATGTACTAGATTATTTATCTTATCTTAATTATGTCAAAGCAGTGAATTGAATAGGAATTTTATTTTGAACGTTTTCAGTAAATACACAATAAAACTGGCTGTCAGTACAAGTGCGCCGTTTGTCCGTTTCGTTTTGTTTATTTAACTATAATAAAAATATAAAATATAACATTTTATTAGTGTCTGTAATAGAGTTGTAGTCTCATTTAATTATGTCAAAAAGGACATATTTGAGTGGTTCAGAAAAAAGAAAAAGACTTGCGATCCAAAAAGAAAAAATAGCAGCAAATATGGCAGAAAAGTATTCTGGGTTACAGGCAAGAATTAAAGAGCAATTCATTTAATTATGTCAAAAAGGACATATTTGAGTGGTTCAGAAAAAAGAAAAAGACTTGCGATCCAAAAAGAAAAAATAGCAGCAAATATGGCAGAAAAGTATTCTGGGTTACAGGCAAGAATTAAAGAGCAATTCATTTAATTATGTCAAAAAGGACATATTTGAGTGGTTCAGAAAAAAGAAAAAGACTTGCGATCCAAAAAGAAAAAATAGCAGCAAATATGGCAGAAAAGTATTCTGGGTTACAGGCAAGAATTAAAGAGCAATTCATTTAATTATGTCAAAAAGGACATATTTGAGTGGTTCAGAAAAAAGAAAAAGACTTGCGATCCAAAAAGAAAAAATAGCAGCAAATATGGCAGAAAAGTATTCTGGGTTACAGGCAAGAATTAAAGAGCAATTCATTTAATTATGTCAAAAAGGACATATTTGAGTGGTTCAGAAAAAAGAAAAAGACTTGCGATCCAAAAAGAAAAAATAGCAGCAAATATGGCAGAAAAGTATTCTGGGTTACAGGCAAGAATTAAAGAGCAATTCATTTAATTATGTCAAAAAGGACATATTTGAGTGGTTCAGAAAAAAGAAAAAGACTTGCGATCCAAAAAGAAAAAATAGCAGCAAATATGGCAGAAAAGTATTCTGGGTTACAGGCAAGAATTAAAGAGCAATTCATTTAATTATGTCAAAAAGGACATATTTGAGTGGTTCAGAAAAAAGAAAAAGACTTGCGATCCAAAAAGAAAAAATAGCAGCAAATATGGCAGAAAAGTATTCTGGGTTACAGGCAAGAATTAAAGAGCAATTCATTTAATTATGTCAAAAAGGACATATTTGAGTGGTTCAGAAAAAAGAAAAAGACTTGCGATCCAAAAAGAAAAAATAGCAGCAAATATGGCAGAAAAGTATTCTGGGTTACAGGCAAGAATTAAAGAGCAATTCATTTAATTATGTCAAAAAGGACATATTTGAGTGGTTCAGAAAAAAGAAAAAGACTTGCGATCCAAAAAGAAAAAATAGCAGCAAATATGGCAGAAAAGTATTCTGGGTTACAGGCAAGAATTAAAGAGCAATTCATTTAATTATGTCAAAAAGGACATATTTGAGTGGTTCAGAAAAAAGAAAAAGACTTGCGATCCAAAAAGAAAAAATAGCAGCAAATATGGCAGAAAAGTATTCTGGGTTACAGGCAAGAATTAAAGAGCAATTCATTTAATTATGTCAAAAAGGACATATTTGAGTGGTTCAGAAAAAAGAAAAAGACTTGCGATCCAAAAAGAAAAAATAGCAGCAAATATGGCAGAAAAGTATTCTGGGTTACAGGCAAGAATTAAAGAGCAATTCATTTAATTATGTCAAAAAGGACATATTTGAGTGGTTCAGAAAAAAGAAAAAGACTTGCGATCCAAAAAGAAAAAATAGCAGCAAATATGGCAGAAAAGTATTCTGGGTTACAGGCAAGAATTAAAGAGCAATTCATTTAATTATGTCAAAAAGGACATATTTGAGTGGTTCAGAAAAAAGAAAAAGACTTGCGATCCAAAAAGAAAAAATAGCAGCAAATATGGCAGAAAAGTATTCTGGGTTACAGGCAAGAATTAAAGAGCAATTCATTTAATTATGTCAAAAAGGACATATTTGAGTGGTTCAGAAAAAAGAAAAAGACTTGCGATCCAAAAAGAAAAAATAGCAGCAAATATGGCAGAAAAGTATTCTGGGTTACAGGCAAGAATTAAAGAGCAATTCATTTAATTATGTCAAAAAGGACATATTTGAGTGGTTCAGAAAAAAGAAAAAGACTTGCGATCCAAAAAGAAAAAATAGCAGCAAATATGGCAGAAAAGTATTCTGGGTTACAGGCAAGAATTAAAGAGCAATTCATTTAATTATGTCAAAAAGGACATATTTGAGTGGTTCAGAAAAAAGAAAAAGACTTGCGATCCAAAAAGAAAAAATAGCAGCAAATATGGCAGAAAAGTATTCTGGGTTACAGGCAAGAATTAAAGAGCAATTCATTTAATTATGTCAAAAAGGACATATTTGAGTGGTTCAGAAAAAAGAAAAAGACTTGCGATCCAAAAAGAAAAAATAGCAGCAAATATGGCAGAAAAGTATTCTGGGTTACAGGCAAGAATTAAAGAGCAATTCATTTAATTATGTCAAAAAGGACATATTTGAGTGGTTCAGAAAAAAGAAAAAGACTTGCGATCCAAAAAGAAAAAATAGCAGCAAATATGGCAGAAAAGTATTCTGGGTTACAGGCAAGAATTAAAGAGCAATTCATTTAATTATGTCAAAAAGGACATATTTGAGTGGTTCAGAAAAAAGAAAAAGACTTGCGATCCAAAAAGAAAAAATAGCAGCAAATATGGCAGAAAAGTATTCTGGGTTACAGGCAAGAATTAAAGAGCAATTCATTTAATTATGTCAAAAAGGACATATTTGAGTGGTTCAGAAAAAAGAAAAAGACTTGCGATCCAAAAAGAAAAAATAGCAGCAAATATGGCAGAAAAGTATTCTGGGTTACAGGCAAGAATTAAAGAGCAATTCATTTAATTATGTCAAAAAGGACATATTTGAGTGGTTCAGAAAAAAGAAAAAGACTTGCGATCCAAAAAGAAAAAATAGCAGCAAATATGGCAGAAAAGTATTCTGGGTTACAGGCAAGAATTAAAGAGCAATTCATTTAATTATGTCAAAAAGGACATATTTGAGTGGTTCAGAAAAAAGAAAAAGACTTGCGATCCAAAAAGAAAAAATAGCAGCAAATATGGCAGAAAAGTATTCTGGGTTACAGGCAAGAATTAAAGAGCAATTCATTTAATTATGTCAAAAAGGACATATTTGAGTGGTTCAGAAAAAAGAAAAAGACTTGCGATCCAAAAAGAAAAAATAGCAGCAAATATGGCAGAAAAGTATTCTGGGTTACAGGCAAGAATTAAAGAGCAATTCATTTAATTATGTCAAAAAGGACATATTTGAGTGGTTCAGAAAAAAGAAAAAGACTTGCGATCCAAAAAGAAAAAATAGCAGCAAATATGGCAGAAAAGTATTCTGGGTTACAGGCAAGAATTAAAGAGCAATTCATTTAATTATGTCAAAAAGGACATATTTGAGTGGTTCAGAAAAAAGAAAAAGACTTGCGATCCAAAAAGAAAAAATAGCAGCAAATATGGCAGAAAAGTATTCTGGGTTACAGGCAAGAATTAAAGAGCAATTCATTTAATTATGTCAAAAAGGACATATTTGAGTGGTTCAGAAAAAAGAAAAAGACTTGCGATCCAAAAAGAAAAAATAGCAGCAAATATGGCAGAAAAGTATTCTGGGTTACAGGCAAGAATTAAAGAGCAATTCATTTAATTATGTCAAAAAGGACATATTTGAGTGGTTCAGAAAAAAGAAAAAGACTTGCGATCCAAAAAGAAAAAATAGCAGCAAATATGGCAGAAAAGTATTCTGGGTTACAGGCAAGAATTAAAGAGCAATTCATTTAATTATGTCAAAAAGGACATATTTGAGTGGTTCAGAAAAAAGAAAAAGACTTGCGATCCAAAAAGAAAAAATAGCAGCAAATATGGCAGAAAAGTATTCTGGGTTACAGGCAAGAATTAAAGAGCAATTCATTTAATTATGTCAAAAAGGACATATTTGAGTGGTTCAGAAAAAAGAAAAAGACTTGCGATCCAAAAAGAAAAAATAGCAGCAAATATGGCAGAAAAGTATTCTGGGTTACAGGCAAGAATTAAAGAGCAATTCATTTAATTATGTCAAAAAGGACATATTTGAGTGGTTCAGAAAAAAGAAAAAGACTTGCGATCCAAAAAGAAAAAATAGCAGCAAATATGGCAGAAAAGTATTCTGGGTTACAGGCAAGAATTAAAGAGCAATTCATTTAATTATGTCAAAAAGGACATATTTG